CTTTGCCAGAGTAGCTGCTCTTTGTCCCAAGAGGCTAAAGCCTGAAATACTCAGAAGTACAAAAAGGTGCCCAGAGAGGTGTATGACCCTTGCACATGTTTGTGTAAGGCCTGCCTTGGCACTCGCAGACCCACAATGACCCTGAACGGGCCCAAAGTGGCACCAATCTGCTAGATGGCCCTGCAGACTCAGCTGCCAATATCCTGAGTAAATCAATTTTTAGGCCTTAACTTGGGATTTTAGAAGAAGAGCATCATCCACGTCTCTGAAATGGAAGAAGATAACAAATGAAAGGCCAGGCTCTTCGATTCTCCAGGCCTTTTCCAGCTGCCTGCCAAGGACAGAGGTTCACAGGGGACATGTACAGGGATGGTCCCCACAAGAATCACAGTGTTTGTTACCACAGGGCTTGGGTTTGGGTCTCTAAACCCTCTGAGACATCCCTGACCTGGGAAGCTGGGCTGGGCTGAATCCCATGTAAATTGCAGCAAGGACCTTTGCCCAGGCTATGCAGGCAACCTAAGCGGTCTGGATCAAAAGGAGCCTGATTGGCCTTCTTGGTCCCTGGTCCCACGCTCCAACCCTGGTAGTCAAGGCCTTATCACTCCAAGGCCGGAAGAAGCAGTGAGAGATGGCCTCAAGGAAATGCCAAAGTATTTCTCTACAAGCGAGGGCAGAGCCAGCCTAAGCTACACCTACATCCAGGCCCTCTCAGGGCAGAGAATGGGATCAGGTGGGAGCCACAGGTCCACTAACTGCACCCTCTGGGTGAGAGTTTCAAGAGGGAGAGGGACCCAAAGTGAGATCCCAGAAAGGGCAGATTCCATGGAGGCATGTCCAGGCTCACATACCCCCAGATATCCCCACCCAGGACGCTAGCTCTGCAGGATCCTAGTGGCATCCAGCCCATGGCAGAGCACCCCTCCAAGGCCTGATGTGCCACTGACACAAGGAATCTGGAGTCAGGAGAAAATGGACTTATGACAACTCTTCCACATCTCACTGTGTGAGCTTGGGTATCTGTATACTCGGCTGTAAGGTGGAGATAATGAGACCTGTCCTGCACAGCTCAGAATAAAGGTAACATGTAGGTTTTTGTACATTGTAAAGTGCTGTACGAATGCAGAAGATCATTTTTATTATTCTGCAAAGTAGGGCCTCACTAAATGAAAAAAATTCCCTAAAGAGAACTGTAGGTTGGATTGGCATTTCATATTTCAGCACATATGAACACACTCATGTTGGTCCCTGGTGCTGGCCTGAGGTCTCGTCCATATGGCTCTGAGAGCTTTTGCCCAAAGTGACCTCTGTAATGTTTAGTTATCTCCACATGTGCCCAAGGAAGACTCTCTTCCTCTCGGATGTGCAGACGTAACATCCTCCCCCAAAGTGGGTTTCCATTGAGACACAGTGGCTTCTTCCCCAAGGGCATGTTACTCATTCAGTCAGAACTTCCATCGGTGTTTCCATGCACTGAAACACAACTTGGAAGACTCTCAAAAGGATGTGGTCCTCCTGGTTTGTCCCAGCCTTTCCCAGAGCTACTGAATCAGTCTGCTTCTCCCTCATTGGCTCACGCTGAGGCTGCTGGAACAGCCTGCACAGCGCGCTCATGGGAAAAGCATGAGATGCTGCCGCCATCTTGGAGGAAGCAATTCAGGGCAGCAGTCAATACAGGGGCTCCAACGCTCCGCAGTGTGGGTTCAAATCTTGGCTTTGACACTATCTGTTAATGTTGGGCTCTTATAAAATATGTACAATATAGGAGCCCCTACTTCATCAGCTTGTTTATTAGGATTAAATGACATAATGTTTTAAAATGCACTGCACTCTTATTACTGAGTTTGTGCCGTTAGCTACTGACTTCACTTTCTTCATGCTTTTGGCTTTCCCTTTTCTAACTGTTCCAAATAAATAATAAACAAACTAACATAGTATAGTAAATTGTTTATGCACTTTCCTATTTTTTCCATAGATGATTAACAACTAAGGTTAACAAAAAAGCACATCACACAGCGCCCGGCTGAATAGATAATGGTCAATAAACGGCAATTGTATCATTATTCGCTGGAATTATCATTCACGCTCATTCTGCTACAGAGGCATTTTGGCATCTTCTAAAATTATGGCTTTGGGAGTGTCCCAACAGAAGAAAGAAGCACCTGGAAGCAGAGACAGTTGTCAAAGATGGATTTGCTCTTCTTTTGTACTCAACTGGAAGATTCAATTAAAGGGCCATAGTTTCTAAGTACTTCATTCCCTTGAGGGGGAGAAAATCTCACAGATGATGTGATAAATAGGTTAGAGGACATTTGTCCTTTCATAACTTAAGTGTGCAAAGGGTAAAGTCTTCCCTCTGATGGCTGAAACTTGAGGACACTGCCTTTTTGGTGTTTCCAGTACCTTCCCAGAGGAGGCGCTCTGTAAACACCTGCTGAGTGGATGGATGGATGGATCCTCAGGCGACACCTCTGCCCTGTGTCTGAAGCAGCCAGAGGAAATGAATGCGGGGCAGAGCCCTGGCCTGGAGTCAGAGTTAAAGCAAAGGATAAAAAGGGCTGTTCAGACTCTTTCTGCTTCAGAGGGCTGCCTCTAACCCTCACAGGACAAGGCAGCAGTGTAGACAGGAATTGGGGGCTCTGTCTCAACACCATCTAAAGGCAACGGCATGCCAGGGGCCTCAGCTGCATCATAGCTAAACCTTACAACCAGCCCAAGAGGGAGAACTCATGAGCCATTTTACAGGGGAAGGAACTGACATCCAGACTAACGACTGCCCAGGAACCTCCAGACTAATGTCCCTGTTTATCTGCTCTGCCTCTCAGAGAGGAGCCCAAGTGGGTGAAGAGGTGAGGACTCATTCTCTTCCTCCTTCACATCTCCAGAGAGACTGCAGGAGTGCCAGACTCTGTGGGCAGGCTTCTGAGCTCCTGAGGGTCCCCTGAGAACCCTGGAGAGGTGGCAGAGAGGAGCAGGGTTTACCGAATTTGGAGAGTATGTACTAGGCCAAAGCATGGCATAGAACTACTTAGTCATGTGGTCACTAGCCCTCACTTCCCCACCTCATCTCTTAATTCTCTCGCCCTCTCTCTCTCTCTTTCTCACACACACACACACACAGAGTTAGAAAATCTGCACTGATAACATATATATTCATTGAGGCTTCTACGTTCATGAGAATCATTAACACTTTCCCAGGTACAGGACAAACTCCATTCCACAACTGAAAAGGCACGAGTATTTGTGTTTATTCTTCTTATACACTCAAGAGAATTCCAAAAGACTGCCTCGATTTTTCTTGAAAATCCACTTGGCCCCTGCTGGCATTATCCAACCCCTCTTGGAAAAGGGTGGCCCCAGTGTTAGCCACCACTGGCTCCTCGTTCAGAAAGCAAGTCCTTTCATGGGGCTCAGCTGTTCCTCAGGCATCCAGTAAAGCTGGTCATGCAAAGGCAGAAAATGTGACAACTGTTGGAAACCTTCAGCAGCAGCCTATGGGAGCAACTGAATGTTCTCTGGAGCGGCCACTTCATGGACAGTTAAAGCAGCCTATTATTCAGTTTATATAAAACACCCACCAGCTCCATGGCACCAATAACTGAATACCTCCATTCTTATCAAGTTCATGACATACTGGCCACACTGCCTTGCCACTAACTTTAGAAACCATAAACAACTTCATTAACCATCAAAATTACACATGCACAGAGGGAAAAGGAAAGAAAAGAAAAACAGCCTTCCTGAGTCCTGAGGACCAAGTTCAAAGATTGCCTGATAGGCAAAACAAAGCCATAGCATTTCAACATCGCCAACAAACGCCTCTCTCACTTCAGTGGCAACGTCTCCAAGATATTTAAGATTTGAAGACTTAGATAAAGAGGGTCTCAGAGCCATGGACACCACATCAAATGCTTCCTAAAAAAGAAGGGCCTGAGTGCATTTTCCCAATAAAGAATCTGTCCAAAAGATTTTGAAAACACTTTAATATACTTTGCTTCCAAAACATGACACACTATTTCTCCAACAAATTTATATGTGTTTCCAGGGAACTCTTGGACAAACAAATTTTTTTAAAAAGCTCAGGTAGAAGAATGTCTCGAGAGTCTTTTATGCCAATATGTTAACAGACCTTCTCTTTAATTGTTATTATTTCATATACAGCAGTAACCATTCCTTCATCTGCAAAGGAAATATATAATCCAGCTGTGGTGGCTCCAGTAAAAATACCACATCTGTGGATCATTGGCAACACTGTGGCAAGATTGCTCAAATCTAGGCAGTCTCAGAAAGTTCTCTTTTAGACTCAAGATGCACATGGGTACACTTTTCTGAAAGTGCGTATAAGCTTGGCCAGAACTGATTGCTCCTTTGTATGCTGAAAACAGGTTTTCAAGATTATCCACACCCATAAGAAGGAGGCTCTCCTGGAATATGATTCCCAGGACCCAGTTGTTATAACAAGTCCTCAGACCCCTCCGGGGCGGTGGCTTGTGCCAGTGCCCTTGTCAATATCAAACAGAACAGGGAAATGAACACTCCCGGTTCCAGCGAGGAGGTTCTACCTCGTGGCTGACAGTGGAGCTGACTGCTGGTTTTCCACTTAGCAGACGAACGGCTTCCGCAGAGAGGATGGCAGCCACTGTTCTGGTCACCATTCTCTCCCTTCTCCAGTGTATGAAGTCATATTACTGAGCCCTGGGTGATAATATTCCAGGAATCGCCCCCCACGCGTCTGTTTAGTCTTTCCCAAAGCCCAGTAGCAAGCATCTTATTTCCAAGCCAGTCTCCCAGATTCAAATCCCCAGCCCAAAGCGCGCCCCGGGGGTTTCTATCCACAGATGTATAAAAGAAAAAGCACCGTAGCTGATCTTTGACAGACTTTTATCCCCAAGACACATGCCCTGCGGCTACCGTGCTGGAATGTCGATGGCCCCCAAACACTCGGGGCCCCCTTCCATCCCAGACAATAGAGCCAGAAAATAAAATGAAAGTGGACTTACTGCTATGGCTTGCAGCCTTTCCTTGTGCAATTCCGCTTCTGCCATCCTAGAGAAGGGCACACAGGCAAGGGAAAGAAGAAAGAAAAACAAAACACACGCTGAAGTCACCCGACGAAATTGATGGGCACCCCGGGGGGCTTGGCTAGAACCCCGGGGAGAGCCCAGAGGCGGCCGGGGTCCGCTCCGGGGGTGGCGGGCAGAGCTGTGCGCACCGCTGGCTCGCCCCGGCTGGCTCGCCCGGCTCAGCCTCTGGCCCCCGCCCGCCCCGCCGCCTGGCTGCGCCCCAGCGCCGCCGCTAACTGCATCTCCCCGCCGCCGCCGGCCGCGCCAGTCGGGGACGTGGGCCGCGGGCAGCTGCCGGGAGGGCGCGCTCGCCCCGTGCTCGTTCTCTGCCCTGACGTCTCGGCGTCTCGCTCCGCCCCTGGGGTGTGGGGGACCCGCGACCGCGGCCAGGGGCGGCTCTAGGCGGGCAGGAGCCGCTGAGGCTGTCGCCGCAGGGGGGAGGGGTCCCCAAGGCACCGACGGACCGCGCGCGTGCGGGTGGGCGCCTGGGGCGCCGGCGCACGGCGGACCTCTAGGGCGCACGGCTGGCGCGCCGAAGTGGACACGCGCTCGCAGGGCCGGAGCAGGGCGAGGTGGCGCCACCGCGGAGCAGATGCCAGCCCAGGGGGCCTCTGGCAAAAAGGGGCGTCCCCGGGCATGGGCCCTTACGGGCGGGCTGCGGCCATCGAGTGTTCTGGTCGCCTTCTAGCTCCTGCCAGATGCTTGGGCTCCATGTGGGGACATTTCCAATAGGGAAGGGCTGCCTCGCCCACGTGCTTTAGGTGGCAGGGTCCTCACACATCACGTCGGCTGAGGGCAGGGTACAGCTCAAAACAGGCCTCCCCTCTGTAAGGCCAAATACGGCTTAGAAAGACAGCCAAGAATTTGTAGTCCTAGGGCCTCGGCTAGGCCAGGCTTGACCAACTAATTAGCTGTGAAACTTTGGGCAATTCACTTAACCACTCTGAACCTCAGTTTCCTCATCTGAAAAACTGAGTGTCCTCAGTGATGAATGAGATAAAGGTGCTTTGTAAAGGGCAATCTGTTCGTATCATTATCCTGTGACATTCTGGGCTGAAAGTCTTGGAGGGTCGTTACTTCTATACACAGTCTTTGAAAGGAAAAGTAGGGTCTAGTCCCTAAAATACTTCACCTATTCTTTACCAAAACAGGAGACAGTACTAAAGCACATCTTTTGCAACAGCCTATGGGCTGGATATGAGAGATGGACAAGACCCAGTCCAAAAGGAAATAAATGCTAAAAACAAACAAAATACTTCTTAACATTCAGGAGGGACCTACTAGAATTCCCAACATTCATAAGCAAATTTTCCCTGTAAAATGAAATAAATACACACACACACACACAAAGAAAACATTGGGACCTCTTCAGATCCTTCATGGTTCTATAAATGCAGGACTTAAGGCATTTTAAAAGGTATGCGCATTAGATTTCTCCAGATCATCTCTTTCCTGGGCAAATTCTTGCAATTCAACTAAATTGCCTTTTCGACTGCCATGGAGGTTTTACCTGTCACTTGATGAGCAATTATTACTCTGCCCAAAGATGAAAGAGGTCACCAAGGAGTTTTACTGACTGATTGTTTTCCCTTCCTTTTTATAAGGAGGGTGCGTAGAGCTGTTTGTGTCATAAATCCAAGCCAGTGCCAGATTCAACATCTCACTCCAGTATATCCAGAACTTCTTTCTGGCTAAGACCCATCATTTTCTTCACAGACATCATTTTCTTGTTGCTTCCAACATCAGCTCCAGCATGACAAGTCCTTTGAGGGGTGTTTGCTCACCAGTAAACAAAGCTGTTATTGCTTGAGCAGAGTGCCTGTGTGCTCAACAAGAGTAGAGAATCAGAAGATGAGGAAAGTGAGGCCAGAGAGATTGAGGGACTCCGCCAGAGTCCTAGAGCTGGGATTTCAACTCAGGTCAGGCTCCCCAGAGCCCGTGTTATGAACCACTCAGGACCAGGCTCGGCCAGTGAGATGGAGGTGGGGCAGGTCCCAGGAGAAAACAAGAGAGCAAGAAATGGTCCATTTGCCCCAGCTATATAGATACTAAAAAGGAATAGAGGAGCACGACAATGCGAATGAACTTAATGTCACTGAACTGTACACTTAAAAGTGGTTTAAATGGTAAATTTTATGTAATATATGTTTCATCACAATAAACTTTTTTAAAGGAGTCATGGAAGGGGAGATGGGGCCTGGACACCCCTTGGAAGTGACCAATTGGAAAGCTCTCATCCTCAGGATAGAAGACTCAAGATTGGGGACACATATCTGGATGTCATCTACTTTGAGGTTATAGCTAAAGAAAGGAGAATGGCCAGGGTGAGAAGAAAGAACAAGAAGAAGAGAAAGCCCAGCAAAGAAGGCTGAGAAAGTATCATCTGAGAAGTAGAAGGAAAAATCAGGAGAAATGTTTGTACCAAAAGCCACAAGAGGAGGAAAGAGGTTTTCAACAGGGTCACATGCTTCCAAGAGTCAAGAAGGATGCAGACCAAGATGAAGCCATTGGCTTGCGCAGTCAGGAAACCATGGGTAAGCGTGGAAAAGCAGTGTGTGGAGGGTGAGCTTGGAAGCGATTATGGAGAGTTGAGAGTGAGTGAGAGTTCGGGAAGAAGGATCCATGAGTACAAACCATTCCTTTCAGATCTTTAGATGTGAAAGATGAAGATGGTGGGGGAAACAGGAAGCTGGTCTATGGGAGCAGGGTCAAGTTGAAGGGTTGTTAGGTCAGGTGAGACTTGAATGTTTCAGGGCCAAAGGGAATTAGGCATCAGGGAAGTGAGGCCAAAGACATAGTCAAAAGGGAAGGTAAGTATTAGGTCTCGGATTAGACCAGAGGGCATCCAGATGAGCACTGGCGGCCACCTGGGCCTTGGAAAGAAGGGGAACTGAAACAGGCAGGCGGATAGAATGGGTAAAGACAAGAAGAAATTTTGACATGAAGGAGAAAGAGGCTGCATTCGTTACCCTGGTTTTCCCAGCTGAGAGAAGGGTCATCGGTTGAGCTTGATGGAGTGGGGGTAGGGGACTTCAGAAAAATAGAAATGGCTCGTAAAGAAGCTGTGGGAAATGACAAAAATTAAGCCACAGTTCCCAACCTGAAGTATGCATCAGAATTTCCTGGGGCACATTTCTCTGACTATATGTACAGAATTAAATTTCTGTGAGGTGAGGTAGGGGTTAGGGATGGGTTTAGAACCATAGTACTAATTGAGTTTACCAGGAAGAGAGAAAAGACTCATGGCCAATCATGTGTACTTCCTCAGGGATTTTTAACCATCTGAGACCCATGACATGCAGTGGTTGTGTTTACTCAGTGTTGAGGACTGTCAAAGCAGGTATAGCCAAAAGTCAAAGAAAAGAAGAAATTCAGAATGCTGGACCCTGGGGTTTTGTCCAGGTGGAAGTGTACCAGATTCTTTCATGTTTTTTTGGATGCCCAAATTGTGAGCCACTTTCCATCTTTGGGGAATTCTCATGTTATGAGCCATAGTGAGAATCACAGCAACCTCCCATCATAGAAGCTGGGGAATGCCAGACACTTACTTCCCCAGACCCCCCAGAAGCTATGACATGGTGTGCAGTCTGGGCTCAGTCAGGCCCGTGCACCTGCCAAGGATCTGGAAGACACAGCATTAGAGAATTCTTTCAGGCTGGTAGTCCACCTTCAGTCCTGCCCACTGCCCAAGCCTCCTTCTCTAGCCTTCCCAGCTGTTCTGTGAGCTCCTGAATGTACTTTCAATTCATTCCTTCTCTGCTTCTATCACTTAGGATCAGTTTCTGTTGCTGGCGACTAAGAATCCTAAGCGAAACAGAGACGTGAAGTGAATGGCTGATGCTTGGCCAAGAGCAAAAGGAAAACATTTTCTCCTCTTCCAGCACTTCTCCCCTCTAATCTCTAAATTCTATCATTTTAAAATCATTGAACCCCTTACAAACACAGAAATTTATAACCAAAATTATTCCATTTCTTTCATAAACATTTATTATATAGCTATTCCATACTAGACATCAGGCTATGGCTTGGTATTACAAAGAATTCATAGTCTTGTGCTAATATTGGTGACTTTCTGCCCTCCACACATTTAAAATCTGGAAAGGTCCATTACAGTGGTTCATAACGTGTGTAACAAATCATTAGTTTTTGCTGGGACATTAAATTGTGTTGTATAAGCACAACCTGTATTATTGGTTTATTTGATAGATGCTGCATTGCAAAGCATGATGCAGAGAGAATACAGAATGCTAGATTTGCAAAATAGATGTTTTGTTCATAAAAATTTCAGAATCTATTTTAGGGCATGAGTCCTTTGGGAACCACAGATGACCATAGCCTAGTCCCCTGTGGGGAAAATAGGAGCTTTGTAAAGGGAGAGGGAAATGACGTGCCAAGGCCCACTGAGTGAGTAAAAGTTAAAGTCTTATTGAACAGTAGCTAAGAGTGTGAAATTTCATAGTAACCTGAAGCTTTCCTTTAACAAAAGTAATTTTAAAAGGCATGCTAGGGTCCTCCAAAATGTTGTATTTTTATCAGCTCTCTTTTGCCTAGGATCTTTTAGAATACATGGTCATCCAAAACATAGGTGATGGCTGCACAGAGTGACAAGGAGGGGAACAGTGCTTGGAATGGTTTTGGCTCCCGTGGTGGTGAACAATTTGGGAAGATTGGTGGGATTTCAGGTTTGTGCTGTTTTTCTCTATGAGATACAAATGATAGATTCATATAAAGTCTCCATGGTGCAAGAAAGAGAAAGACGTTAGAAAACAGAGCGCCAGCATGGGAGATAAACTAGGCTGGATGTCACCTAAGGTAAATGTTGGCTAGGGGTCTCTACATAGCAGATTCAAAATGAGCACTTGGCAATCTGGCTAGACATGAACATGAATATTTCAGTTTGATGGCCTTTTCTCTTGGTTAGCTTTGGCAAAGTCACTTGATTGATGTGGAAACTAGGAGGTATGAGGAGAGGATACAGGAATTAGAGCCGGATGGTTAGGGATCGATCTACACTTACCCTGCTAGGATATTTGGATGTTGGTTCATAATAGTCTTCTTACTAATAAAAGTTTTGAAAAGTAGGATTAGAAAGTGGGAGGTGGGCATGATATAGTGAAAAGGCATGAGCTCTAAAGACTAGTTAGAATCCCAGCCCTCAGCCTCACCAACTACACTACCTTGAATTCTTGTAGCCTCATTTTCCTCATCTTTAATGGAGGACAATAGCTCTAACCGCATATAGATAGTGTGAGAAATAAGAATAATAGATATAATATGCTTGAGAGTGGACACAGGAGGTGCTCCAGAAATGGTAGGTCCTAATTACTCAACCCTATTGCTTCATTAAAAATGTCATAGACCAAATTAAGGGAGTGACTTGACTTTATGCATCATCTAATGCAGGCTTTTAAAATTTTTTTTAGAAAAGAGGTGAACTCTCAGTAAAAATTCCCCACATTGGTAGATACTTCCCTGTTCTCATCTTTTAAAAGGGAGAATTGTGCTCTGTGTCATTTATTGTCTAGAAATTTCTTTACCAGATTCTCCTTTTAACGATTCATAGACACCTATAATCTTATCTTTGTAGTGGGTCAATTTAATAATTATAAATAAGAAGGAATTAGAAGGGAATTATTTTTTAAATTATTATTATTTTTATTGAGGTCATGTTA